GCTTTTTATTTTTAAAAACAGCAGGTGGACTCAGTTGCTCGCCTTTCTCCCGCTCCTCTGTCGGCTTTAACTTCAATTAGACGCCTGCCTCTGTAAAATCAATTCCAAGCTGTTCCTTGACCCCGAAACTAAAAGAAAATAATCCTTTTCTTTTCTTGTTTCTGGAAGTGGCCAGACACACCGCGTTCTTATCCAGCACTCCAAGTATGTGCCACATAGAAAAAGAAACAGTCGCCACTGATTTGGATTATTATCCAACCACTTTAAATAAGATTGGTTTCACAAACTTATCCGTTCTGGCCGTGCGGGTACCAAAGGGTTCACATGATCATTTCCGTTATCCCTTTTATTCAGCTTCTATTGGTCGGTGATGCATAGCCCCAACGGCCACAAGCCGTTTCAGCATAATCACCGTTTGTGCATCAGCGGCCTTCCCCACAGTAACAGTCTGTGTCATCTCCATATAAATAAATGATGGTGAGAGGTTTAGCATTAGCCACAACTAGAGCTGGTTTCTGTCAAGACACTTCCAGGGAAGAAGGATCTGGAGTTGTGTGTTAGTGTGTTTCCACCACCTTATTAAACCATTGCTCAGTGACAACAAGTGTGAAGTTTGGATTTTCACCCTTGAAGGTATTTGATAAAAAAATGGCACTGGTAATGCACACAGTATGTTAATATATGTGGATGTTGTGAGTGCAGTAAACAGGAAATCACATGTGTACTCATCAATCCTCCATACAGCATGTGACTGCTGCAGCACAGGCCTCCTGTGCCTTAACCTTTCATCCATAAGGTTTTTTAACTATTTTACACTGGTAACTTTTAACCCAAACTGGGGAAACATAATTTTTAGTAAAATTCCGTTCTAATTTGATCCCTAAATAACAGTGTTGGGAGAAATAATGTTTTTTTGTTCCAATGTCTCTTGGACTATTTTAAAATAATTTGTAAGAAAATGACTGAGGAATATCATAGACACATCAAAGTAATTCCTTTAACCGATTGGCTAATGAAATATATATAAATAAATTATATATATATATATATTTGTCTATTCAGTACTTTATTTTGGCCCCTTTTTCAGTTTCAGCCTCCACTATGTTGCAGGTTTGACCAGTAATTTAGAAACAGTGCAGAGATGATATTAAGTGGCAACCAAACAAATAAAAAAGGCAGATGACGACCAGCAGTAATCGTAGGAACAAAGTCATTGAGGATAATACAAAGAGACAGAATGACGCAGATGGAGAACCAGAGCTAGAATAAGATCTCGGTGCACGACGAACATGCCCTCAGCATTATTTCCTCATATGTTGCACATTAATCCTTTGTTTATGAGAGACGTCGATGCCAACTACAGCCGTCCCACGGGGCGGGGAAGAGAACAGATATCAAAAGACAGCACAAATGTGTTTTGGTGTCAGTATCAAACACATCCATCACGTTGACTTGGTAATAATACTGTGGGTAAAATGTTTGAGATGGATGGCTAATCTATTTTTCTTTATTATTTCTGATCCAACTTTGATCTCTGAATGGAGAAATCTTTCTTCGATTATGTGTCTTTTTGACTGAAGGGGGTGTGTGTGTGTGTGTGTGTGTTACATGTAATCCTTTGTCATGTGGTGTGGCATGCATTTCATGTGGTCCAGTTGGGATTGTATGTTGTTGTGTTGTGTGTAGGAGTGATAATTTAAGCATCACATAAATCATTTAACAAACAAAATATATATAATCACCAGACCCCCACCGAATGTTTGTAAGGCTAAAAAAATGTAGTACTTGTGTAGTACTAATTTTCATTTTTGAGTTGGGGGTGGGGGTATATCAGCAGGATGACTTTAGACTACTATCTACCATTAGCTGTACTTAAAGTGGAGCTGGTGCAACAAAGCTAGTCCTCTGAGGCAAAAGCTCAGATGACATTTATTAGGAGAAATATATCTTCAGAGAGGTTCCAGAGAGTTGGCTGTTATGTCAGAAGTACACATGAAGACTACAGTACTGAGTACCTTCAAACTACCGTACATAACGTTCACACCTACATCAGCTCCTTTAACCTGAACCAGTTCTGGTACTAAATAGAACTGTATCCTGGCTCATCTAAAACAATTCCTTCTAATCAGAGCCGTGACTGATGATGAGGAAAAGTCCTACAAACTTTTAGAGCTTTAGTTTAGTCGACCAGGTTAAACCTCGATACTCTGTCTCTGACCCAGGTTAAACCTCGATACTCTGTCTCTCTCAGTTTGAGACGTATCGAAGAAATTTAGCTGAAGTGCATTTCTGGTCCAGTCCGTGTCGTCCGTGTCTCTGTCTGTCCCACAGCAGGCGTCTTCGGGTGATAATTGACAATTTGGGATGAAAGCTTCACATGCGTCGCAGCTAATTGTAGATGATGGGAATGATTAACTGTCCCGTTAGCCTGGCTGTGGTATTGAGGCCTTTGTGGTGCATAGGGGCTAATTGTAGCTAGTAGCAGTAGTTGTTATGCAGTATGTTGTGGTGGTTTGTACCTAATTGTAGCTGATAGTAATGGTTCCAGTCTGTGTATACAGCCTGGAGCAGACAAAAGGCTGCGCTGCCTGGGAGTCTGCGACACGACAGATATGGAGACGCACACACACACACACACACACAAACTGTTCATGCCAAAAGTAATTGATTAATGCAAATAACCAAGAAATTAAATAAATAAATATTATTTCATACATTTACGATAACCGTTACCATTGTGTGATTTTAGTGACGTCACTTATGATAATTTTTTTTTTTTTATGCCATCATTACATTTCTCCAGGCCAACGGAAACACTGTACGGTCAGTCAGAACTCTGTAGTTCTACCACAGCCTTGTCAGTTTTCCACACTTTCTTTGTGCATGTGTGTGTGTGTGTGTGTGAGCGAGGGTATGTATGCATGTGTGTTTGGGTGAACATGCAGTGATGAATTTTGACTGGGTGTGGTGAACATCAGATGAGATTTTCCTCTGCTCCCTGCCCGTCCCCCCCCCCCCCCCCTTCTCCCCGCCCCCACACACACACACACACACACACTCATACACTCATACACACACACAGAGACAGACATGAGTGCCAGGCCTGGTCTAGGCGTAGGCCCTTTCAGACATAGATTGCTTTATTTTAATAGTCATAGAGCAGAGAAAGAGGAGGAAAAAAATACAGTAAAACAAGAGAGGCCTCAGAATGAAGATCAGATGAAACAAGAAGGCAGTTTTTCTCTCTCCGTTTTTGTCTGTTTGTTTTCATGTTCAAACTCTATCCTTATTATTATTATTAATTTATTATCAGCACAAATTCATCAAATATATCTTATCTCTTTGAGTAACTGTGATTTTATACATTTGTGTATATATGCTTCTCTCTAACGTTAGTTGTCAACATGTCGTATTGAAGACGACAACAAAGTCCTGATTGAGATCACTGACTGTTCATGGCTGTTTGGAGATGCCTCTGTCTGAGGACTTGGTTAATCTTAATTGATCACAATCTGACGTCTGTCACTCATCCACTCATACACAACGGTGTGTATGACTGAAGACAGACGGACGGATAGTGTATGGGTCAATGAGTTGAGTGCGTTTATGGCGGAATATGAACTGAACGACCACAAATAAACACACGCTGGCACGCGCGCAAACACACATTCTCGCAAAAAAAAAAAAAGAAGCGCATGCAATATCTCTCTGTCACGACTGTTGTGAACAGAACGACCGCAATTGTTCTCTTTTCAAACAAAGGGAAGATTATGTCTTAACATAAAACACATGCTTGCTTATTTGATGGTTCTGTATAGTGATTATAAGAGAGGCAGGGAAGGGATGGGGGAGAAAGAGAGAAGATTTAGGGATGAGAGGGCAGAAACAGAAAGAAAGAAAGAAAGAGAGGACATTTTAATGGGGGAATTACTCAAATTAATGTAGCCATTATTCTCCCATGTGAATGATGGCAGCAGGGACCGAAAATGACTGGAATATGGAAAGAAAATTCCTTGATAAGTGGCAAAGAAGTTCTAAAATTAGAGTTCAAACTTCAATTTCTAACTTTGTAATGTACATTAATATTTATTAGGCAAAAACTAAAGTTCTGTTTAGCTGGCATTAACATTTCAAAAACAAGACTTTCTCGTCCCTTTGTCTGTTTGTTAAAGTTCAAAGAAAATTTAGACCAAACTTTTCCGGACCTTTCTGGAGATGGAATATATATAGAGAGAGTAAAGAGGAGGAAACCCGTGACAGGAGGTGATGCAGATGGAGTCTGAAGGACAGCAGGAGACGAGAAACAAAAATTGCGAGCCATAAAATAAATGAAAAAGTCTCCGAAAGAGAAGGAGAAACGTGAAGTGCTGGGGGATGAATTACTGTCTTGTGCCTCCCTCATCCGTCTTTCTGATATGGGGTGTGTGGTTTGATGTGGTCGTGCTTTGGCCACTCTCCCCATCTTCTCCGCCTCCCTACCCTCCCCCCCGTTTCTCCCTCACACTCTGTCTCGCACCCCCCGCTCCGTCTCTCTGATATGGTTTGGGTTTTGATGTGGTCATGTGTTGAAGATTCTCACGGATGGTTTCCATAACGATAAAAAGAATCACTCCCTGGTTTTGCAGAAAGAATTGCACTTAAGGATGCGACGAACAACCCAAACACACACACTGGCCTGAAAGTCTCTCACAGCGGAGATGGTTCTGATTTGTCGGGGCTGTTTTTCTTTGACGAGGTTTGTGGTTGAGGATTGTCACAGATTTGAGTTTTCAAAGGAGTTTGTAAATTGAATCAAAGCAACGCCGCAACAGACACAATTGTAGGAAAATTGCATTAGTGTGACTGTAAAATATTTGTGTCCAGCTCAGTGTGTGCACTCTACTCTAATGTCTTCATTTTCAGAGGTGATAAAATCCTGCCTTGTATCTTTAATCACTCCTGTTTATTTAGATAAAAATGAATATTAAAAATGTTTTCTGTCTCGTTCTTTTTCCTTTCAGAGATGGTGAGGAAGAAGAATCCCCCTATCCGCAGTGTAGGAGGTGAGGAGGAGGAGGAAGAAGAGGGGAGGAGGCCAGCAGGAGAAGAAGAAGAAGAGGAGGGAGAGGAAGAGGGCAGAGTCGGAGCAGAGGCCGAGCGAATAAACAGACCCTCTGAACCCGAGTCCTCCGAGCGGGTCAAAGGAGACGAAGATGCTGAGGAAGAGGAGGGAGAAAGTGAGTGCGTGTCCTCTTCTGTCTCGCCCTCCTCGGTCAGCGATCGCTTCATTAGCGAGGAGCGAGGGGGAAGGAGAGGAGGAGGAGGAGGAGGAGGAGGGGGGAGGCCCAAACAGGGAGAAGTGGTGTTGACCGATAGACCTGAGAGCCAATCAGAACCTGAGGATGGGGAGAAGGTGTTAGAGGAGAGAGAGGGGAGCGATGGAGTCACTCCTCCTCCCTCCGCCGCTCCTCACCTGGTCCCCAGACAGGAAGGAGGGGAGGAGTCGACCACAGACACCCCTCCGCTCTCCTGCAGCCCCTCACCCAAACTCCAGGACTTCAAGTGTAACGAGTGCGGCTACGGCTACTATGGCAACGACCCCGCTGACCTGGTGAAGCACTTTAGGAAGTATCACCTGGGTCTGCACAACCGAACACGGCAGGACGCTGCCCTCGACACACACATCCTGGCCCTGCACAACATGGCCCCCCAACACACACCTCTAGGTAACGCTGCCTAGTTGGGGATCAAAAAATTATAGATATATATATATTTATATTTATCAATTTAATAACATTTTTTTACAAAAAAATATAGAATATTAATTCTTTTGATTTGATTTGCTTTTTAAAATTCTATTTTTAACTGTTTATCCATGAATAGATTTAATACATTTGACACTCGTTTATGTCACTTTCATTATTTCAATTATTTTGAGATACTTTTTGACACTTACTGTCATAATAATACTGTTGTATTTTCTCCTTAGATTGACCTATTTCTGATATAACATTTGCTAATTTTTTCTTAATAATTTTCATCACTTGTGAATTGATTTATGGCACACTCTAAAATATTTTTTGCTAATTGAGCTTATCTAAACTGCAGCAGTGTTAGTTTAGTGAGGAAACAATTGGGAATTCAAATAATTCCCTGGTTTATCCAATGCCCAAATATTTGCATGTAGATATTCTTCCTTTAATTGTGTAGCTTCAGTTCACTGTGTGTTTTTGTAACATTAAAGGTCAACATTCATATTTTAACCATTATAACCACCAGCATCACCCAGTACTGGACGATGGACTGACGTGTTGACTAGTCATTTATTATTACTCACAGCAGGGACCTTAACACTCCACTACATACTAGTCCTGTGTTGTAGACAACCACTCCTGTCCTTTTTTCTTATTTATTTCTCAGAATTGTGAAGTATTGACTTTTCAGAGTTAGTTTTTTGAGGATGCTCACAGTGAAACAGCTGCATGTTGATTGTTGACCTTTAGGTTTTGCTTCTTCCCAGATGTCAGAGCTGCTCTTGGAGTTTTGTTGTTTTTGCCTTTAGCATCCTGACCCCCTCCCTCCCCTCTGTGTTTATCTGCTTCCACAAGACTGACCTCTCCTTCCTCTTTTCTGTTTCTGCTCTAAGACATACAGACGGCGGCAGGACAGAGGAATCAAGCCAAAGAGCTGGTGAAGACCAGGCCAGATTTACACAGTCAGCAGCACAGGGCAGTTATGATGAACGGCACATACGACGTACAGGTAAGAGACGAGTCGCTGTCCGGGGGAGGGAGGGCTACACTTTGTGGAGCCGCCTCACTGCTGTTTTTCAGATGTGTTAACTTTAGTGGACGAGTGTACATTAAGGTTAAGATAAAACCTATTTTTCTTTTAAAAAATCACAGAAGTTATTGCTCAGTGATGAACATTTCTTTTCACTTTAAGACCGAATGGACTCGAACAGGATTCTTCCAGTTTTGTAACTTCCATACTGCAGATGAGTTAATGGTCTTTTATTTTTAAGTAGTAGACAAAGATTTTATTATTCACACCCCATGAGCGACTGTCAAAGCATCACTAATTCAAAACAAGTGACATGGTGCTTCAATTAACGATGCATTGTGATCATTACATGTGGTCGTAAATTTAGGATGTAGGGCCGTAACTGAAACTGTTGGATTTATTGTGTTGAACAGTCTGCAGCTAATTTGTAAAATTGGGTGTGTGATTTGAACAGTGACGCATATTTTTGACAAGTTATAAAACTAAAAATCTCTGATGAACACACACACACACACACACTCGGAAATGGAATCACATAAAACACCTGGACATATAAAACGGAGACACCGACCCTGGTCCTTTGACCTTTACACTGTGAGTCCAATGGACAGAATAACACTTTTCTATAAGGAGTAGAAAATATTAAAGAAGATTTTTAGGTTTTATTTCTGTTCTCAAATCTTAATACTTATAAATTCTAATTGGTGCCTGATTTTGTTTATGCATTTTCTAGCCTTGGATGAAGGCCAACAGTTTAAGACCTTGAAAACTCTGCTTAAAACCATGAAAGGGTGTAAAAAAAAATGTTGTTAATATTTATAGAAATCAAAGGTTAAAATTTGCTGTAATTTATTTTTTTTACCATCGTTTTACCATAATATGGAGGCACGTAACAAAGTATCTTTTTGAAAGTACATAAAATCAAGAATATTAATTTCTTATTGAAAACATGCAAATGTTAAAAACTACTTCAAAAATAAACAAAGTTAAAGTTGGCTTTAGTAAAACCTTTCATCTTGACAGCTTTGTTCCTCCGTGTCTTAACACAGATACACACAGTTTAATTGAAACTGATGTTCGAATATCAATTCGTCACCGTTGCTCTGCAGGCAGTTGTCATTTGTAATGAGGCGACTCCTCCAGATTCTTGTCACAGTTGCTGAAGGATCAAGGTTTTAAACGTGTGCAGGAACAGTAGTACGTTATTGGGGTTTTTTTGTCTTGAAAAGTTCAACAGGATAATCTGAAAACCACATACATGTGTGTGTGAATGTGAGGAATCGTGAAGAACTTTCATTTCTTGTAAAGCAGTCTGAGATGACTGAGACAGAGTCACGTAATGGACTGTGAAACACAGGCGCACACACAACCAGTCAGAAACGAGAGCTCCGGTAGGCTTAAGTTGTCATGATGAAGAAAAAGTGAAAGTATTAGAACAGAAAAAAAGAGGAAAAAAAACACACTGTCCTATGAAAGGGTTCTCTATATTCCCTTCATCCTTCTCTCACTTCTGTCTCTCTCCCGCCGCCCACGTTTGGAAAATTCCATGTTGTCATTTGCTGGGATGCGGTGACCTCTCAGCCAATGAGATGGCAGGGAGACGGAGTCAGAGTCGGAGGAGAGGGGAGAACTGAGACAAGGGGAGAAAAGAGGATGGAAGAGGAGAGGAGTTGAAGGAGCAGACAGGGAGCGGCCTGTGAGAGCAGTGGTTCTAATCAGCTGTGAGGCAGCAGAGTAACAGAACAGCTGTCAGACATAGTCTTCTCCCTCTCTTTTCTACACGTGTGTCTCTCATCATACGTCTTTGTCTCCCCTCACCTCCCTCTCTGATCTCCGACTCACTCTCTCTGCCGCTGCTTCTCAATTTGTATTTCATCCAACATCTGAGCGTTTTCCTCCTGACCTCTACAGTGGACCTCACCTAACAAACTTTTCCACTTGTCCCACTTGTCCTCTGTCCCTTATTCCCTTTGGTCTCTCTCTCTCTCTTCATTCTGTTTTGTCCAATGGCTCAGGTTTTTTTTTTTTTGTCTCTTCTGATTGCCTCAGCAGAGGTCGTAGGGTCAAATTAATTAGCATGATTTCTGTTGTGATCACAAACACATAATAGCTCTCACACAGCTCTGTGAATTTATTCTCCTCAGTCAGGCTGAAACGCACCACGCTTATCTTTTGCCGTCCGTTGATTGGTTGAAGCCTTCCTCTGTTTTTAGTATCTCTCTTTCTTTTTTTGTCTCACAGTGTCAAAAGTTACATTTCTGTTCTCGGGCGATAGCTGTTAATGAATATAGATTCCTTTTCAGTGTCCTCTGCTTGGACAAAAAAAAAAAATTGAAAGAATTGAGAGGCTTAATTATGAACGTTTAACTTTAAAAGAAAGCCCAGCTCCATTATCAAGTGTTAAAGGAGAAAATAATGATCAGGGCTGGAATAATAACTACAGTAAGACACGTATGTGGTGCAGTTTAACTTTACCTTATTTGACTCCCTGTATGAGAAAACTTGGTTTAAAAATAACATCAGTAAATCTACTGATAAATAATTACTACGTTCTACTGAGTAGAGGGAATATAAACGTATGAAGATGTACCGTCAAGTACACGTGATGTGGTACTGTACCTGAACATTTGTACTGCGGAGGGAAAGCTTGGGGTTTTTATTTCTGAGCTGTTTCAACGTTTGCTAATGAATCTTTTGATGCAACTTTATTCGTTTTAATTGGGCTTTTCTTCCTGTATTTACAGAGATCTACAATAATAAGCAACTAAAACCCAAAGTTGTATAATTAACCTTTTCAACTAAGAAGGCAAGAAGTTTGGAGAGTCTGCACTTAATGAGCTCAATTTGGAACTGCAGCAGCAAAAGGCAAAACCGTTCTGTAAACAGACAACAGATTATTTCATTTTTAACTACAAACTCTACACTAAATTTGACTTTACTGCAACCTTTCTACAGTACAGTGATTCATTTGTACTTTTTGTATTTTGTATTTAATGAGCAAAACTGAGAACAAAAAGATTCTGAGATCTCTCTTATTGATAAAATCGAATTATACTCACCCAGGTTTGTACGAGGATGAAATATAAATGTTTCAAAGTGTGAGATGGAAAAAAAGAAAATGTCTGTCTTCGTATCAAAACGTCTCCGTCTAAAAATATTGTAAAAGGATGGAAGAATCAGGATGAAGGCTGGACGTTGATGATGTTTGACAAACATGTTTTTATTTTTTTATTTTTCATCGACAGGTAACTTTGGGAGGAACTTTAATTGGGATCGGCCGGAAGACCTCTGACTGTCAGGGGAACACTAAGTACTTTCGCTGCAAATTCTGCAACTTCACATACATGGGCAGCAACTCTTTAGAACTTGAACAGCACTTCCTGTCCTTACATCCGAACAAAGTCAAATCTCCGCCCATCGGCCCCCTCCTGAACACCAACAACTCAGCAAAGCACGAAAACCAGGCAATGGGAAGGAGTCACGTCTTTGACGGGGTAGAACGAGTGGCGGTGAGAGCGGAAGACGACTCCTTGATCGGATACTCCATCCCGATCAGATCGTCTCCGGATCCGTCGGGCTGGACCGCAGATCCGGCGCCGGGTGCTGTGCAGGCCTACTATTGCTGTAAATTCTGCAGCTGGAGTTGTGAGTGGTCAGGGGGGTCGGTGAAGCTTTTGGAGCACTATGAGCAAAGACACAGAATGAGCATAGGGGGCGCTATGAGTCCCAGCAA